AGTGGAGGGCAAATGTACCTGGGGGCAGGGGGAGTGCTACCATTTCTTAAACGGAAAAATCTTCAAAACATTTTAACAAAAGTCAGTTTTAACAGGAGCTTTCTAGCTTGCATCCCACAGCAGCCCTGTGCGTAGAGCAAAGCTCTGCCTTCCCTTAGCGTTGGAGGATCCTGCGTTGCTGCAGACTTCTGTGCTCTGGAGGGGTCTTTTTGCAGGACTTGCAGAACTGGACAGTCACTGTTAGAATTTTAACACTTGGATTTATAACGGTCTTGTCAGACTAATTTGCTTAATTTCAATTATTTATACCCCAATTTGTTCAGAAACAAACATTGTCAAAAATAAACACATCCTTAAGGGGTCCTTGGTCAAGTGAGGCACTTCCAAGAGTTAAGAATATTGCTTCATGGCGAGGCTTTTCTGTGGTAGCTGCAGTTGGAAGTAGCAGCTGTAAATGGGGATGTAAAGATGTAAAGTTAACAAAGCATCAGTCCCTAAGCTGCTGTTCTGCAGGAGTTTGATACCCAAACTTGTGTGTTGAACCAAAAGCAAATGGTACTTCCAGATCGTAAAAATGTGTTTCCCCAAAAGAAGCTCAGGTTGGTGCAGATACGATGTCTTGTTACAGAACACCGAAATTTAGCACAGCGCCTTCACTTCAGTGTCCTTCAAATACTGAGGGTGGGAAGGGGAATGCTCCTGGTCTTTCAAGCACTGGTTGTGGGATGTCCTGACTCGCTGTCTTTGGTTCCTGTGTTTAAGATTGACGTGTGTTCATGTGCTGTGTACGCTGCAGCAGGACATTCACTGACCTGTCGGTGTGTGCTCTCTGACGAGTGTTTGTGTCTGCGGTTGTGTGGAGCATGAAAGATCGCGAGTATCACTGACATTCACGTCTCTGATGGATGGTTCTTTTTCTGCTGTGGGTGCTACAGGTTGACATCTCTATCTAAGATTAGCTTTTTCCTGACCTAAAGTAATCCAAGTCTCTCCGTAGAAGACAAATGGCCTTCATGTAGAAGATAATATCGCAAGACTGGAAACAGAATAATATGTTAAAATAACTGGCAAAGACTTCGAGAGCAGTGGTGCTGGTGTGCTGCGATCAGTACTTGTGGTTAAACGAGTTTTAAAATAGCATGGAAATTGAAAATTGAAGTATAGTCCATAATGGATTGGAATTTGTTAAAATATTTTGTATCAGAATAAAGTGTATATTGTCAAATGACTTACATCTAAAAATGTGTTGCCATCACCTTTTTTTAGTGCTGCGAGGAACACAGTGGTCTTTAGTCACTGCGACACATTCGGTTACAGCGACGGCAAGTCGGGAAACCTCGGTTCAGTCCCGCTCTTCAGCTTTGCTTTTAATAGTTTTAAAATCGAATGTTTTGATCAAGAAATAAATGGTCCCCAAGTGGAGAGCTGTCTGTGTATGGGTCGCACTGCGATGCGTTACACTGGGAATGTCACCTGTCACCCAGGTGTGGGAACGCGCTCTGTACCGCAGTAGTAACAATAAAGTGAAGGACACAGGTTTGCAATCTGGTGTTTTCACATGAACCAAAATAATCGAATGTGGAATATTTGTTCCTTAATGCTGTTGGGTGTGTTATGTGAGTGCAACATTCACTGTGTTCCTGATACGAAAAACACTGGTTCAAACCGAGTGCAAGTTGCCGTGGTCCAAGTTGCTCCAGACCGATTCTGTGCCTGGTGGATTTCAAACAAGGCTTCTGCATTAACTGCAGGGGTATTTTTGTTGTGCCTTTTTTCACCTTGGGAATGGCCCAAGTGTCCCTGTGTTAGGGTTTAGATGTGTGGGTGGTACAGATACAACGGCCCCTGCAAGGGCTGTAAGGATGCTGTTTGCCTTGGGCTTTCACATCAGTGTTTAAAATAAGGACCGGAGTGAAGTGGAGGGTGGGGTTTGCTGTGGTCTCTGTTTTAGAGCCAATTTGTAATGAAAGGATTGGCACTACAGCTAGGAGAACATTTTCAGTGTAAGTCAGTAACATTTAATAGCCTCGTTAATGGCAGGGGGACCCAGGAGCTCTTCCTCTTTAGGTCCTGTGTGCATTGCCCTCAGCCCTACCTGCGACCGGAGCTGCTGTCTGTGGTGCAAGGCTGGCCAGGACCATAGCTTGTGTGCGTCCTCCTCAGTGCTTATGCTCTGAAGTTGCCATCCTTGGGTATGGATTGGATCACCTTGCTTTAGATGGCAGCAAAGTCACATTCCCTTAGTGCTCTGCCTGGCCTTGGTGATTGCTTGGGGTGTTTTCCTTCCTCGGCAGTGCTGGTGGCAAAGTCAATTGAGGCGTATTTGAACAGCAGCGAATAGGAGCAAATAAATCTGCTTGGTCCATCAAATCCAGCCTCTGGGTTTTCAACCGCTGGTATGGACCGTTTGCTCCAAACAAAAAAAGAGGAGCGTTCCTGCATGCAGAGTAGGCCAAGGGCTCTGCAGGGGCACGGCCTGGCACGCTGCTAGCAAGGGAGCAGGTCAGTATAAGACAAGGTAAGCAGCCTCAAAGTGCAAGAGTCGGGTCACCTGGGTTTACGTTTCCCAGTGTCTCCACAAAAAGCGCATTGCCACTTGATGCAGCAGGTGGGGTTCCTAGCACTTCCCGGGATGTTGGCCATCTGAGGGTGTAGGGTTTCTTCATGACTTTGCTGTATGTGCTGCCTCAGTTAACAACCATTTTGCGTGGCAGGATCTCACTTGAAAGGTTGCAGCAAGTAACACAACATGAGAAGTTGTGTGAAACTTTCTTTTCTCTTGAGGTAGGCAGAGCTGGATCAGCTTTTAGACCCAGGGTCAGGATCTGAGGACTTCTGGCCCTCGGCCATTGCACCTGCCTTTCATAGAGGATGTGGTGATGGGATCATGGTCCTGGCGCTACACTGCCCTGCAGCAAAGCTGCCTTCTTGGTGAGGCTGCTGCTGTCCTGCTCTTTGGTCAGCTACAGTTGCACTGCAGCTCAAGTGCAATTGAGAATCGAACGAGTGGGAGTGCGTGCATGGCCTCTGCTGGTCAGACTCAGTGAGTGAGTTACCAGTAAGAGGAATTACAAGGTGACAAAGATTGGAAATAATTTACTTGGGGTAATAAAACCAAAAACCAATTATGCAGAGTTACATCAGTACGACTGTGACCCAACTGGACAACGCAATAGCATCTGAAATTCTGTGCATGCAGGGAAAACCAAAACTGGTAATGCCACAGCGGGGTGGTGCTGTTCAGGGCAGAGCTTGGAGTCACTGCAGTTGTGTGAAAGCAGCAGCTGGAAGCAGAACCTCCAGAGCATCTCCTGACAGAGGAACAGGCCCCAGGACGATGGCTTGCGGTGTTGCTGCCCTGCCCTTCCTCTTGGCACTTCTGGTTTGAGGTCATTTAGAAGGTCCATACAAAGTGATACAGAAGGGAATTGGGATTTTGATGATCTAAATTACTCTGACTTCCGTGGCCAGCCATGAGATGAGATGCTTTCTGCTGGACGTGTAACTGCAGCACGGTCAAACAAGACTGCAGCTTGAACTCGCCAGCAGCGGTGTCAGTTTGTTTAGGATTGCTCTAACTTTGTGCATGATGAGCCAATGCAAGGCTGGCTTCCTAACCTGATGTCCCCATTTAAACCTTTTCCTACACCATTATTAAACAATCTCTGTGGGCCCCACTCTACTCTTTGTGAGTACCTCCAGTTCCTTCTTTTAGAACAATGTATAATGTCCTGCAAAAAACCTTGGTGTTTATCAAACTAAACAAAGTTATGCATAATATTGTAACAGACAAAATAGCCTTGAAACTACAGAGCACCAGCAGCAGAAAAAACATTTCAGATCAAACATGCCTTTGAGCAGTTTCATTGGGAAGATGAAGGAAGATGGTTCAGCTTTTAATGTTCAGGTAGGTGTGTGTTTCAATTACAAATTGTGCAGTTTCTGTATCTGAAAAATTCCACGCTGATCAAGTACAGAGGCCGTTCGAAGAGTAAACAAAACAGCGCTATTTATTTGCCCAATTTTTATTTTGATTCATAATTTAAACATCACAATCCTTTTCGGTGAATTGAGCACAGGTTCCACATAGTGCAGCTGGCTGCTTTGTCCATGAGCCCCCCAGCCATGGCAGTGACAGGGGATGTTCTGGAACAACGCCTCAGAAGTGCGCAGAATCTGTAGTTGGAGAGGTTTTAGTGCCTCCAGAGGAGAGATCTCATCGTGAATTTCAGTAGTGTTCAGAGAGCAAAATAAAAATGATGTGAGCTCAGCAGAGGCTTGACACATAACCCTGTGTCACACAACCCTTCCGAGGGGCAGGGAAACCACGCCGAGCACCGCGGCGGCACCGCGGCCGTGCGGCACATCGCTGGGTTGGGCTGCTTGTTACATGGAGACAGCGTTAGAAAACCAGCGAGGATCCCCTTCACTAGGGAAATAAATGCATATGAAGTAGAGTTAAAAAAAGTTTAATGAACTGATAAATCAAAATCAAACACTAAGAATCACCTTTCTTACTAAATTAAAACCACGTACTCAATATAAAGCAGGTATAAATGCGTAAGAAAAACGGGAAACACACACTACTGCCTCTTTATAAAAAAGTATCAGAAACCATACTGTTTGTCTTGCGAGAAGTCGCATTTAGAAGGCTAAAATCATTTATATATATGTATATCTCAAATAGATCTATGAATATAACAGATAGGAACAGTATATAAATACGGTATCTTTAAATATTTACACGTATATGGCAACTAGTCAGAGTGCTGCTATAAGAAGGAAATGTCTGTTACAAAAGCGAGATTACGTCCATCTGCATGACACTATTAGTTTAAAACCTGCATCTTCCACAAACTAATTACTGACTTGAAAATTCTCATTGCATAGAATTACTCGGAAAATATTATTTAATTCTGCATTCCACCTCACAGTAAAAACCATCAGGACAACGATACAAAAATACGAGCTCTGAGAGCAGCAGCCAGCTGTGCTGCCCTTCACAGCTTAGTCTCTGACTTCTTGCTCTTAGGAACAAGAAAGACGTTGCCATCTCTGGTTTGCTGCAGGGAATATTCGCTAGGGGAGTAGGACTTCCCGTCCTCGTCCCGCAGCATGCTGAAGACCTCGAGATACAAGGTGGTCAGCTGCTTTTTCATTTGGCGGAGGCTTTTGTCATGCTCTCCTTTCTCCTTAAGCAATTTCTCTTTCTCAACTTTGAGGTTGCTCAAGTCTTGCTTCAGTTCCACTATATTTTCCAGTTTTCTTTTACGGCAGTTTTGAGCAGCCACTTTGTTCTTGCCTCTCCTGCGTATATCTCGAATGAGCGCCAGCTGGGTTTCGTTAAACTGCTCCTTGGACATCATTTCGTTGAAGTCATCAACGGGGAGATTGATGATTTGTTCAACAGGAACAGGGATCTGCAGAGCTTTGGCTCTTTGCTCATCTCTTGTGAGATGAGCTTCGAGGCGGCTTGAAGGTTTATCTTTTGTGAACGGAGCTTCGGGGTGGCCTGGACTAGGAGGGGGCTCTTTCTTTGGTGTGTTTGTACCCTGCAAACCGTGTGGTTGAGCGCCTGGCCCCACGGGAGAAAACACTTGATCCTGGAACTGCAAGGAGTAGGTGCTGGCGTTGCTCTGCAGCACGCTGCCAGGAGCACTGTCCATCTCCTCCATTTCTGAATCGCTACAACCAAAACTCTTATCTCCGTAGGCAGAGGACTCAACAGAGTGCTCAGGTGATGCTACAGCAGAACTTGCGTTCAGTGAAATACCAGAGTCAGAATCATTACATTCTGGGGCGGTTCCTGAGTGGTTGCCATTAAAAGCTTTACACAGTGAGAAATCAGAAAGATCGATAGGTTCACTTAGGATTTCCACGAGCGACTGACTGATGGTGTTTGGCGCTGTTGTGTCATTGCTCGCCTTCATGTCAATAAAGGCCGTGTAGAAATCCTCGCAGAAATCAGAGTTTGAAGGGGACATGTCACTTAAAGAGTTCACACTCAGCGGGCTGGTGTCTTCTGGTGGCAAAATGCTGGAAAAGGGGCCCTCGACACTACCCAGGAAATCTGGGCCGCAGTTGGCATCTTTCCTCACGATGGGTAATGAGCTGTAGTAATTATAGCTGTTGTGCATCTCTGTTGGCTTGGGTTCAGGGCTCGTGATCGTGCTTACCTCAGCCAGGTTATCATTTTCAATGTTGAGGCACTACACGGGAAATGCAAGAGAGAAGTTAAGTGACACACCTCCAATTGATGATGAAAGCTTTTTCTATAACCCACAAAGATTAAATATTTTAGCAATCAATGTGCACATAAAAAGAGTATTACAACACTGCTGTAACGTAGATGACTACAAGACTCTTTCATTACAGAGAGGCGCTCTAGGAAAATGACTACATAACTGAGCAAGAGAATGAAGCAACTTGCTCTGGACAAAGCCATTTAGATTAAGACAGCAGAGCCTCTCAAACCCAGAGCAAGACGCTGCAGAGACCCATTCCAGTGCGGTGTGGGAGCTGCACAGAGCCCCCCTGTTCTGCTCAATTGCCAGTGGGGATCCTGGAGCTGCCAGGTCTGAACTTCTCTGAGGCGCCACTGCCAGGAGTGGTGTGAGGCTTAATGAGCGTCACCAGCAAACAACTGCTTTTAGCACGCCTTAATTTCGTGTTACGTGACAGATTTCCTCAAAGAACAAGGTTCTTCCAGGATTTACTGAACGAAGCAGCTGTTCAGTGCAGAGAAATGCAATTCTCAGTGAAGTAAAAAGGGTACTAACGTGAAGCCTCGCGAGCATTAATTCACTCCACACACTTGTAGTTAAGCTGCTAACATCGTTGAGTGTTGAAGCCTGCAACACTGCCAGGCCCTCACTGGCTGCAACACCGACGCTC